CTATGACACCCGCCGGGGCCCGAAGTGTATGTGTGCCAAGTTTGGTCCCGATCGGTTCAGAAATGGAATTTTCTATTCGGAACATACGTACAGATTGACAGACATACATACAGACAGACAAACAGACATTCAGCTTTATATATAAGATTGTATAAATAAGGTTCTTTTGTTTGTACGTCTATGCTACATATGTTCCGAATGTAATCCGCTCCGAATTTGGCATACATACACTTCGGGGCGGGTGCCGCAGGCTACTTTTTGTCATTTATATCAATTAATTTTCTGCAAGGTTTCACCTAGGAGGCTGTGGGCGCAGATAGATAAGTGAGCATGCTGATTAAAAAATATCAATGATAGAGCCGGACGTAGTCGATGCCAGCTAGTTATTTAATAAAATCACACGCTAAAAATGCTCAGTTATGAGTTCTAAGCTCATGATTAAGCATTATATTAGGTTGTCCCAAAAGTTCTTGCGCCGGATTTTCAAAAAATCATAACTTCCTTGCCACTCCATGGATTTTCTTGATTTTAATTTCCTTTGAAAGAAGAAACCTTTCCCTTTGCAAAAATGTCTTTGCTGTGAAGCGGCGTTACAAAATTGCAAAGCTAGAGGCAATTAAATGAAATCACTCAATATCGGCATTTTTCAAGTTGGGTTATGAAAATTCTGGAAGTATTTTTATTTGGTAGAGAAAGATTTGCGCATTACAGTGGTGTTTTTCCTTTGAATTAAAACGAAAAAGATCGAGAGTTAGGAGCAAATAAAGAGAATTTCTTCAGTTTTGCAATTTTTGAGTATGCTCAAAAAAGCCTGAAAATGTCACAGAAAATACGGGAATGTCATGAACATGGGTTTTGTGACCTTCTCTTTCAAGATGTGCAAGTTTCGAGCTAATCGAGAGCATTTTTGATTTTCGTGAAAAACGCACTCCTGAAAATCCGAAAAAATCACGAAAAAAAATTGCTCTCGCTTGACACAGTTTTCGCTCAGAAAGAAAAGGTCACAAAACCCATAATCGTAGCTTTCCCGTATTTTCTGTGACATTTCCAGGCTTTTTTGAGCATGCTCAAAAATTGCAAAACTGAAGAAATTCTCTTATTTGCTATTAGCTGTCGATCTTCTTCGTTTCAATTCATGAGAAAGATACCACTGTAATGGGCAAAATTTTCTATATCAAATTTAAATACTTTCAGAATTTTTCGTGACCCAGCTTGAAAAATATCGATCTTAACTGATTTCATTCATTTGCCTCTAGCTTTCGAAATTTTCAACGCCGCTTCACAGCAAGGGCACTGTTGTAAAGAGAAAGATCCTTTCTTTCAAATAAAAATAAAGTCAAGAAAATCCGCTGGGTGGCAAGAAAATTATTATTTTTTGAAAATCCGGCGCAAGAACTTTTGGGACAACCTAATATATTAGGTTGAACCGAAAGTTCTGTCGTTTCATTTTCAAAAATTTGTAACTTCGCGAGATTTCAACGGATTTGCTTGCCTGTAATTTTATTAGAAAGAACAAGTCTTTCGCTTCCAAACACTGCTCCGCAGAACTTCTGTTTCATACGGGGTGCGGAGATAAAAATAGAAAACTAAGACCATATTAGCTTCGACCATTATAAGCTAGGTCACCAAAAATCTGGAATGCTGCAGAAAAATCTGAATCGTCAGTACATATGTTTTTGGCCTACCATTTGCATCTGTGAAAAGTTTGTGCTGTTTGGACGTCTGTGTGAGAAGTTATGAATACCGAGTTTACTATGGAAAACGGCAAAATTAATTGATTTATCAATTTTCGCGAAAATCATAACTTCTCACAGAGACAACCAGACAGCACAAACTTTTCGCAGATGCAAAGGGTAAGCCAAAAAACGTATGTACTGACAAAATCAGATTTTTTTGCAGCATTCCAGATTTTTGGTGACCTAACTCAAAATGGTCAAAGTTTACATGGTCTTCGTTTTCCATTTTTATCTCCGCACCCAGTATGAAACAGAAGCTCCTCGGAACAGCATTTGAAAGCGGAAGACCTAATCTATCTAATAAAATTACAAGCAAGCAAATCCGTTGAAATCTCTCGAAGTTACAAATTTTTGAAGATGAAACGACAGAATTTCGTTTCAACCTAATGTTAGGTTGGTTCGAAAGTTCTTGCGCATCATTTTCAAAAAATCATAACTTTCTTGCCACTCGATGAATTTCGTTAAGATTATATACCTTCAAAAAGGGAATCCATTCTCTTTACAACAGTACCTTTGCCATGCACTGGTATTGGAAACTTCGAGAGTTACAAGCAATTGAAGGAAATCAGTCAAAATTGGCATTTTTTGAGCTGGGTCACCAAAAATTCTGGAAGTACTTTTATATGATAGAGAAAATTATGCTCATTACAATGGTGCCTTTCCCATGAGTTGAAACGAAAAGATCGAGAGTTAGGAGCAGATAAAGAGAATTCCTCCAGTTTTGTAGTCTTTGAGCATGGTCAAAAAAGCCCAGAAACGTCACAGAAAATACGGAAAAGTCATGAACGTGGATTTTGTGAACTTCTCTTTCTAGCTGAGCGGAAATCGTGCTAATCGAGAGCAATTTTGATTTTCCTGAAAAATGAAGGCCCGAAAATCCGAAAAAATCACTAAAAACAAAATTGCTCTCGATTGGCACGATTTTCACTTGTCTAAAAAGAGGAGATGAAAAACCCATGTTCATGACTTTTCCGCCTTTTCTGTGACGTTTTTAGGCTTTTTTGACCATGCTCAAAGATTACAAAACTGAAGAAATTCCCTTTATTTGCTCCTAACTCTCGATCTTTTCGTTTCAACTCATGGGAAAGGCACCATTGTAATAAGCATAATTTTCTCTATCATATAAAAATACTTCCAGAATTTTTCGTGACCCAGCTCGAAAAATGCCGATCTTGACTGATTTCCTTCGATTGCTTGTAACTCTCGAAGTTGCTCAAAGTAATTCATGCGGGAGAAACATTTGTAAAGAGCATGAATTTCTTCTTCGGATGGATACAATTTTGTTGAAATCCATTGAGTGACAGGGAAGTTATGATTTTTTGAAAATGATGCGCAAGAACTTTCGGACCAACCTAATATATTAGGTTGAACCGAAAGTTCGTTCGCACCATTTTCAAAAAATCATAACTTCTTTCCGTCACAACGATTTTGCGCAACTCAAATTTTATTAGAAAGCGGAAAGCATGTAGTTTCCAACAGTTCTTTGCTGACTTTCTAGCATTTTCAGATTGCAGAGATAAAAATGAAAGAACGAAAACATCCGAAACTCGGAATTTTTGAGAAACAATTCCAAAAATCTAGAAACTGCGCGATAAAATCTAGAAAAGCCATTATCATAATTTTTCTTATATTTGATTACTAACTGAGTTAAGTTTGTGCTGATCGAGCTCTTCTTTCAAAAGTTATGATTTTTTGAAAAAAATTCCGAAAAATCACTTTCCTAAGAATTCCTAAGAAGATGATTTTTCGGAATTTTTTTCAAAAAGTCATAACTTTTGAAAGAAGAGCTCGATCAGCACAAACGTAACTCAGTTAGTAATCAAATATAAGAAAAATTATGATAATGGCTTTTCTGGATTTTATCGCGCAGTTTCTAGATTTTTGGACTTGTTTCTCAAAAATTCCGAATTTCGGATGTTTTAGTTCTTTCAATTCATCTCTGCAATCTGAACATGCTGGAAAGTCAGCAAAGAACTGTTGGAAACTACATGCTTTCCGCTTTCTAACAAAATTTGAGTTGCGCAAAATCGTTGTGACGGAAAGAAGTTATGATTTCTTGGGTGCGAACGAACTTTCGGTTCAACCTAATTTTCAAAAATTTGTATTTCAAATGCTGTTCCGTGGAGCTTCTGTTTCATACTGGGTGCGGAGATAAAAATGAAAAACTAAGACCATATAAGCTTTGACCATTTTAAGTTAGGTCACCAAAAATCTGGAATGCTGCAGAAAAATCTGAAATCGTCAGTACATATGTTTTTCGGCCTACCCTTTGCATATGTGAAGAGTTTGTGCTGTTTGGACGTCTCTGTGAGAAGTTATGATTTTCGCGAAAATTGACTAATTAATTAATTTTGGGGTTTTCCATAGTAAACGCGATATTCATAACTTCTCACAGAGACGTCCAAACAGCGCAAACTTTTCACAGATGCAAAGGGTAGGCCGAAAAACATATGTACTGACGATTTCAGATTTTTCTGCAGCATTCCAGATTTTTGGTGACCTAACTTAAAATGGCCAAAGCTTATATGGTCTTAGTTTTCCATTTTTATCTCCGCACCCAGTATGAAACAGAAGCTCCTCGGAACAGCATTTGAAAGCGAAAGACTTGTTCTTTCTAATAAAACTACAAGCAAGCAAATCCGTTGAAATTTCGCGGAGTTACAAATTTTTGAAAATGAAACGACAGAACTTTTGCAACAACCTAATATATATGTCGAAGTTTGTGCAACTTGGTATCCTTTTTTAGACTTCTTTGCGCGTGAACCGATTGAGCTACTTTGCATACATATGTTTTCGACCCCGTAGATGGTTTTAGGCTACTTTCTGAAGCGATTCACTAGATTCTTCTATTATTTAATAATTTTTGGCACTTTGCAATGAAAATGAAGCTTATCAGCCACTATCAAACCCCATGCACATTTTGGTGTAGACAATGCAGAAAGTTCATTTTCAATCTGAAGTGTAGAAGATGCAGTTACTCCAATCAGTCACTCTGAGGAAAGCTTAGGCAGGAGGGTAAGAGGGAGGGGCCTTCAGTGCAGTATCGAGACTGCAAAAAAGCGTACGGCCGAACCGAAAAAAAGGAGGGAGGAGAGATAAAGTGTGATTTGGCCATCCTCCTAAACGGTGACCCAGGCTGGACCGGGAAAGCCAGCTAGTACTCAATGAGTAACGGTGGCATGATGATCAAGAGAACATTTCGACTTTGCCGCTACAACCTTTATGTAACCTGCACTGAAAACTTATTCCAGCGTCGTGAGAGAAGAAGTGGCAAAGAAATGATTGTCACGATCTAGAATCAAATTCATTTATGTGGTCTTTGCTCTGAGGAATCTTCAGTCAACAAGGTTTACTGGTTGTCTTCGGCTTCTTGCGGGAGAACGATATACCTTTGCCTTCTTGTAGGGCGGGGAATATGCCCAAGGAACATGCTCGCGATTCCTAGAGTAAATCCGAGGAGCTTCGTCGACTTCTTCGCGAGGAATGTAAATCCGAGGATCTTCGTCGACTTCTTCACGACGAATGCTCGGGTTGATACGAGAATCTTTCCATAGCGAAGGAGGCTCTTCAACGTTAGATCCCCATCGTCCACCGCCCCTTATTCTTCCGCTGGCCCTTACTCTTCCACTCTCTCTGTAGCTTGGCTCATTGACAATTCTCGGTAGAACATTCCACCTTTGTCCATCGTATTTGATCGACCAGGGATCTGACTCATCTAAAGATCGCTTGGCTACGGAGAAGTGTTTTGACGAAAGCGTTCTCTTGTGGTGTTTCAGGAAACTCTTCGCATTTGATTCAATCAAATTATGTCCAGACTTATTCTTTTGGGAGTCTGTTAAACAAAAATATCGCAACTGGTGGCTTATGCGTGGTTTTAACTCACCTGATTGCTCTTTTGTGACATAATGTTCTGCTTCTCTATGCAGTTCTTTTGACTCCGGTTCGTGCTGATGACCCTAAAATTAGAGAGTAAAAGAGCTACTAATTTGTATTTGTCTTTTCTGCGATAACTTTATATCTGAAAGTGCAATTTTGATCTAAGGTTCATACGAAGTAATCAAATTCTTGATTTCATTCTCAATCCATACGCTCATTACGTTCCGCACAAATAATGGCATAAATCAACAATTCGGGAGTTCAAAGAGCTGAGAGAAACTGCGTCTGCGAGCTATCCACATCTACATGGCCTCCTGGATACGCTGAGTCCAGTGTGTCCAGTGCTTGAAATGTCAAAAAAATGCTTTTAACGGTGTTGTCCCATCCTGAATATAGCTGGAGGGGAGAGGGATTCCCGCCAGCATCACGATTGGCTGCCTGTGCCAATCAGCCGCTTATCGCCGGAATGGGAGTTACAGTCTCCTGCAGCCAGCTGCTGTTCATGGCGAGAATCTCTCACCCACCCCCTCCAGCTATCTTCAGGGTAAAAAAAAACGCCGTAATAAAGCGCTTTTTGACTTTTCAAGCACAGCACTGGATTTAGCGCATCCAAAAGACCATGTAAGCGTGAAAAGCTCGCACTCGCAAGTCTCCCGGGCCACTGCCTACAAAGACTATTCATTGTAAAAGCAGTAGGAAAATTAAGAGCCTAGGCGTCTATATGTTATTTCTTTTTCAGATTCTAACATTCTTCTGTTGTAAATTTAGCTTATAAGGGAGCACATCTGTCTCAGGGTGGCCTTTCCCAAAAAGATGTATTTGGCTGTTAAATAAGTTTTGCAACTTACTTAACAGCCAACTATTCGTAACTTCTCGGTTTTCGATACTGGGGCGTTTATTTTTAAACCAGTGCGTCACCTCTGCTTCGCAGAGGCTCGCACTGGCTTTACTGTCTAGGCCCTACTCATTCTCGCATGATGATGGCATTGAAACTCACCGCGCTATGTAGGCTATCACGAATAACTCGTAAACAACTACTCATTCGTAGAGGTTTTCCATGTGAGATCGGTATTTTCGCGCGGATAAAATCTTTCATAGAAGAACAGATGCAAATTCGAATAGGTTTTTGGAATTTTTATGGCTTGGTAGTCGCCGTAAGGCCAACAAACATAGTGGGCTACATCTCTGTGCAAAAATCTTTTCAAATGATCAGGTAAAATCTTGAAAAATTGACCGTTTACACAGCGAATGCTTTTTGGCGCTGTTTTCGTAAAGTAGTAGACTTTTCATTACTTTTTCACGCTAACGTCCATGGCTTGCACATTAGCTCGCCAAATATTTCCTTAACTCTGCAAAAAGTAGTACTACGGACCGAAATTTGAAATCTGACCAGAAGCCAAGTGGATCCGCTTGACGCGCAATTTTCAATGGATCCACTCAACGGATTCGCTCATGCTTTTGTATAGTGAGCTTTCATGCTGGTAGCGTGCGCTATGCAAAATTTGGGCTCAGGACGTTGGCTGGAACACGCTCTACGAATTTCGTGACAGACAGAGATTCACACACACACACAGACAAACGTAAACAACCCTTAGCCCGTTATTATAAGTTATGATGTTGCGTATAGGATCGTGTGATCTACAAATTGGCACAAACCGATCGCTTTTTGGTGACAAGATAGAAAAATACAAGGGTTTTCCGAAAAGTAGTGAAGTTTTGGGTGTTTCGGATTATAGGCAGACATGAAGCCGTTATCAGCCTAGATCATGCGCAGCAAAAATTGTATGCGGATTGTTGTTAGAGAATGGCTCTATAAAAAAAACACTATAAAAAATGAAATTTGAAGACTGTTTGCAATCTGCATCTCCCACAAAGATGAACAAATCGCTGTACGCAAGGCTACCCGTGGACAAGCGTCCTTGATTCAGGAGTCGAAATCTCAGTATTCGTCGCAACTTTGCATGATGGGGTTATTTGAACTGCCGCACACGACTTTGCTAATCTTCTGTTAAATCAACACCTCTTTTCTTGTTTGGGGTGAGACCTCAAACTGTATGAGACAATGCTCTTGCAAAAAAAGCCCTACCATGCAAATTTAGTACCCTCTTGTAATAAGCATAGATAACCCCTACTGCAAGTTTTAGAAAATTTGTCATAATCTGCAATTTTTCCTTCATACTATATACCTACCGTAACCCTCACTGCTATGTCACAATTTGTTACAAGATTGATTACTCTTGTAGTTTACGTTTATATCCCCATAATGGCAAGATTTGAGTGTGTCATATATAAAGAGAGAAAAGTTACGAAAGTAGTGTTGCAAAACATAGTTAACAACCTTATATTAGGTTGATGCATAATCCCTGCACCAAAATAGGTACAGACCGCAATAACTCGGAATAATCCTGTATTCCAAGTAGGATTCGATATATCATTTGATAGCGCGAACCTAGCTCTACAAGATGGTGCTCAAATATCTACACCAGCTTTGATCCACGCGAAGTTTTGAACCAAAAACTGAAAAAAAACCATGCGTCCGAAAACCTTAAGACAGGTCTTAAAAAAATTGTAACTTCGTTCAAAAAGCTCATACAAATTTTCTTTCTTGCTCACGCATAGACGTTCCACGTAAGACATTTATCTATGCGGTTGTTGTATTTTTTCTCAACTAGACGATGAGAAAACGAAGTTTTTCATGTATTTCCAAAACAATGCTGAGATGTTCTAGCACTGAGATTTGTATTGTATGAAGAAGCGTGAATGTGAATTTTCAGCTCTTTAGAGCAGCTGGTTTACGAGAAATATCGAATTTTTAGCAACTAGGCAAGAAAAATTTGGATAAGGAGAGCTAGATTCGTTATTTCTCGTGAATCAGCTGTTCTAGAAGGCTGAAAATGTAAAGTTTCACTGCTAACGGCTTGTACTATACAACTGTTAATCCTAGAACATCTCAGCACTAATTTGGCAAAAACATGAAAAACTTCAAAAAACTTCGTTTTTTCATCGCCTAGTTGAGAAAAAAAATGCAGCAACCGCATAGATAAGTGTCTTACGTGGAACGTCTACGCGTGAGCAAGAAAGAAAATTTGTATGAGCTTTTTGAGCGAAGTTACAATTTTTTTAAGATCTGTCTTAAGGTTTTCGGACGCATGGTTTTTTTCAGTTTTTGGTTCAAAACTTCGCGTGGATCAAAGCTGGTGTAGATATTTGAGCACTATCTTGTAGAGCTAGGTTTGCGCTATCAAATGATATATCGAATCCTACTTGGGATATAGGATTATTCCGAGTTATTGCGGTCTGTACCTATTTTGGTGCAGGAATTATGCATCAACCTAATATAACCATATACAGGGTCTCCGTAAAGTATGTACATATACACTGTTTGATCGTTAATATCTTTCTTCCCAGCAAGTCTTTTGCCTTGCTTCAAGTACCATTTTGTAGAGGTGACTTCAACTTAGATTTACAGTATGGAGCGAATCATCTATCGCTTTTCATTACTGTAGGATTACGGTACGAACCCAGCATATGGAACCAATCTGTAATATACCACTTAACAAAATTTTTTTCAAAAAACCTGAGAAATCGTGTGCTGAAGTTTTCGCTCATGCTGATTCCACCTAACAGCTTTTTACAAGTGATTCGGCTTTTTTGACGGTGTAATTACATTTCTGACAAATGCTGAGAATTGAGTTACTACGATTTACCGGGGATAACTTGAGAAAGAAGCATCATAGTAAAATGGGCATTTCAAATTCGAAATCAACGGCTCCCGTTACGGTAGTACAGGAGTTTTTGGCTTGTTTGGTTTTGTTCCCAGGCAGAATATAGCCTCAAATGGCCTAAAATCTTTGTCAAAATTCGTACCGTAATCCTACAGTAGTGAAGAGCGATAGATGATTCGCTCCATACTGCAAATCTAAGTTAAAGCTAGCTCTACAAAATGGTACCTGAAACAAGGCAAAAGACTTGTTGTGAAGAAAGATATTAACGATCAAACAGTGTATACATACTTTACGGATACCCTGTATATTAACCCACTAGCTTGCTTACCCGGCTCCGCTCGGCCCTGTCAAAACACTGTAATAAAGGTCCCATCTCTATCCCTATGCAACCTTTCCTTGTGTCCACATCTACACTTCGTTTCCCGTTCCCTGTGTTGTTTTCGAAATCAGCATGCCCACCCCCTGTGCCAACTCCCAGCCCTTTAACTCAAATCTTGAAAAAAATTGATAATTGATAAAAGTAATCGATAATTCTGAAAACTAATATTGTATTCGGAATCGCCTTGCTCACTTACCCCGCTGTGCCACCTCCCAGCCTTGTAGCTCAAACTTTGCAAAAAATCGATAAAATTGATAAAATTAATGTCGATCGATACGAAAAGTTGCTTATGACCCGAAGTGTATGTATGCCAAGTTTGGTCCAAATTGGTTTAGAAATGAAAATTTCTATTTCGCACATACGTACAGACTTACGGACAGACATGCAAACACACATTCAGTTCATATTATTAGGTTGTCCCATAAGTCTTTCATTTTTGAGTTGTCGCTATAATAAGTCACACAGTTCTAATTGTGTATGGAAATCAGGTTAGCATTCGATAGAGCAAAGCAAGCTCTACAAAATGGCGTTTATGCTTTTGCACAAGCTTCGGTTCACCTCAAGTTTTAAATTAAAATCCAAAAAGTTTCGAATGCCTAGAAAATTGAAATTTTTTTATATTCTCGCTCAAAAAAAACCTACAGATCTCTCACTCGCTCACGCTTATACACTCCACATCAGACATTCATATGTGCCGTTGCTGTATTTTTTTATCAGCTAGAAATCGTTTCTGTTTTGTTTTTTTTCTGTTTCGTTAATTTGTTTCTGTTTTTATTGCGCTATTCCGAGTGGCGGGGATTCCTGTGAGACGGGCTTGACCGTGTCCTTGTTGTTTTCCTGCGAGGTCTCGCCAAATCGAAATTGAGGCTGCCCTGAGGCCCGATTAAGGGCTTTCATACCGAAGAGGGATTTCCGAACTTGTATCGTCATTTATGTGTTCACAGTTTTTGAATATAAACTCTAAAATTGTATTTTATGATTGCAACATATCCACAATTTCGAAAGAGGAAGGAAATCGAGGGTTTTCCCATGTTTGTGGTGTTTCTATGTATATTCCAATTGGTTATAATTTGTGTGTGTGGTGTGTGTCTCGGTCTAAGGGGTTTGTGTGCGCGGAGTTGTCAGTGAAGGAAGCGAGTTTTCCAAGAAAGTGGGCGGAGTTGGCCACAACGGGGATGGGGGTTGCGTGGTGGGTATTATCCAAATTATCGACTAACTCCGAAGTCTTTCTCTTGCATTTCGTGCATGAAAAAGACACTGGAAGGGATGGAGGGGTCGGAGTTGTCAAAGGGACGTGACCATCAACAACCCGTCATCGACACTTCATCGGACTTCGCCGGGCCGTTTTCGACAACGGAGCCTGTCGTGCGAATACCGTAGATTATCTCCATGACGCCGTCAAGCGTCGCAAGGACTCTTCTATAGTGCCTAAGGAGCTATCCGAATCCCCTCCGTTCAAAAATTGCCAAGATAGGCTTTCGGGGTCCTCCGGGTACAAAGTTTTGTAAGATCCGGAGCACGGTGCGGTACTGTCGCTGGGAAGACCTGGAAGACCAGATCCATCCGATACCGAATCGGTCCCCGGATGGATCTGGTCCTTTGTCTGAGATGATACAGGTGGAGACTTCAGTTCTTTGGACGTTGAAGTTAGAAGCGCATTATTCGCCTAAAAGCAATCTCGGGTACCAAAGCTAGTAGTAAAAGAATGTTGCAAGTTATGTCGATTACGAAGGGTAACGCGCAGATTTCCATTCAAGCTATTGCAATTTTTCCGGGGTTTTTCCTGTCTATCAGCTGAACAACGTGCCTTTTTGCGGCTGTGGAGCAATGGAATGTCTCTCTTTGCAGTACCATCGAATGGATTAGCTTACACGTCTTACGTGGATACGTGGATATATTTTGGAAAGTAATCGGCAGAACTTAAAACGAATTAACAAGGAAAGGATACTCGTTGACCGCGGCCATTTGGAATGCGATGTATACCGTAGAATGCATCTCGAAACACTGTTTTAAAATACAGTGCGTTTCGTAACTATACGACACCCCTCGAAGTTTTGGATTTCCGGATCTGCAGAAGAGATCGAGCACTCCAATCAGTGCCTGTGCGATCCACATATGATATTGAATGAAATTACATCTCAATCAGTATGTCTGCTCACTTGCTTTTCTACATGTAAAGACATGTCCATTCTTCCACTGTTTCATAACTGTACTACACCTTCGAGGAGGATGCTTTTTCCAAGGAAAACAGAACGCAAATAAACGTTTTTGTGACTAATCGGGCCGCCGAGCCTTTTCATCATTTTATCAAGTCTATTAGAAAAGCTTCTGACAAATTCATGCATGTCTTCGGTTAGTGCGTCGCATGCTCCCATAACGAACTGCTCCAACTTTTCCATTGCCTCGTACTGTTTGTATCTGCTCAGAAACGCTTTGCCAGTAATCTCCAGGGATTTTCTGAAAGATTCAAGACAATACAGATAGGTCACGTTTATGAAAGCTGCTTGCGTGCTGGCGGAGAGTGGCGGTAAGTGATCCGCGTGCGTGTTCAATGCGCTGTGCTGCTTCGAAAAGTAGTGCTGTCACCAGCTTTTGTTGAGAAGATGACAAAAATGAGCCAATGATTTGGTGGTGTAGTCGCATCACAACATTCAGTTTGGACGGCTAAAGGACAGACTTGCCGTAGGTAAGCAAAGTCCACATCATTTTAGCAAGAGAAACTTAAGCGGAGGTTGCTGTTTGATCTGGAAGCATTTGCGTGGTTCAAAAGCCTAAATGTCGATGAAAAAATTTGCGCGCAGGTTGCCAAAAAGCACTGCAAAGGCAACAACTCTTCTCCTTCCACAGACGCAGGTGACAGCATTATGTATCGAAGCAGCACAGCGCATTGAACACGCACGCGGATCACTTTACCGCCACCCTCCGCCAGCATCGCAAGCAGCTTCCGTAAACGTGACCATGCTGTATTGTCAAAATCTCTGGAGATTACTGGCAGAGCGTTTCTGAGCAGATACAAACAGTATGAGGCATTGGAAAAGTTGGAGCTGTTCGCTATGGGCGCATGTGACATACTAACCGAAGACATTCATGAATTTGTCAGAAGCATTTCCAATAGACTTGATGAAGTGGTAAAAACTCGGCGGACTGATTAGTCACAAAAACGTTGCATTTCCGTTCTGTTTTCCTTGGAAAAAGCACCCTGCTCAAAGGTGTCGTATAGTTATGAAATAGTGGAAGATTGGACATGTCTTTACATGTAGAAAAGCAAGTGAGCAGACATATTGATTGGGACGTCATTTTATTCAGCATCATATGCAGAATACAAAGGCAGTGACTGGAGTTCTTGATCTCCTCTGTAAATCCTGAAATCCAAAATTTAAAGGGGTTTCGTATAGTTATGAAACGCACTGTATATGCTCATTATGCAAAACGATTTTCTGAAGAAAGTTATGAACTTTTTTCTTAGGAACTTTGCGTACTTTTGGGAAATTAGAGGAGTTATAAACGTTTGGAGCGAGAAATTGAATGTGCGTTTTCGATAAAAGTTGTTAGAATCTTACTAGCCCTCAAATAATGCAGCCAAGTTTGATATATTTTCTTGAAGTATTTTTGAATAAAGTGCTTTGATGATTATCACTGCTCCATTGAAAAGCTAGAGAAGGTATTACTGCTGTTTTTATCTTACTTGCACATTCCATTTTTTGCTGCATTAAGCGCTCATAACTCCTCGCTTTTAAAGGCAGCGTCCGGGCAAGATTCAGCCACCCAGATTAGCACATAGTTGTAAAGCGCGTCCCATGAGTATCCAATCTGCGTTGGTCTGATCCTTTGACGCGGCCTCTAAAATGAGATACGGGCCTGTAATATATATCACAAACCGCCCCTTCGTATCACTAACCACCCCTGAGGACGTGTGCTCACGCATCGATTGATCGTGGATTACAACTGCACTCATGCAGTTGCAGCTCCTCCTCGATGGCGAGCCAAGGGGATAAACAATCCAAAACTCGTCCGCGCTTCGAAACAAGGTCCCCAGGAATTGGGTTTTTTGGGGGGTTTCGGACAATTTGAACTTTCTGGCTGTAACCAGGGCCACGAAAAGGCCCTAGAACGACAAAAACATAAGAGCCGAAATTTTTCCCGGACGCTGCCTTTGAAAGTTTTGCAGATAGGGAAGGCAGATTTGGAACCAGCATTTAATGTCTTTCGATTTGGTATACATCCCATCTGGAAAAGTCACTTCGACTAAACATGCTTCCCTTGTTGACTGGAGCGGACAGTATGGAGCGAATCACCGACCTCTCTTCATTACTGTAGGATTACGATAGCCTTCGACACACAGCACCGAAAAAATCTTACAAGGGAAGGATACCTATCGCAGCGACAGCACGAAATGATATGCATATATCGTTAGATGCGTCTTGATCAGCTGATTCCAATACCTTCACATCTGCTAAGCTGTTCTCTAGAAAAAGTTACAAGCGTCTGAATCCAAATTTGGCATACATTAAGTGCCACATACAAGAATTACTTGCTAAAAAACACTTATTTATGTGTTCTGTGTATCGTCGAGTCATTCGTAACTTAATATGCGACGTGCACACTAAACACGCTAACCGACGAACAGTAAAACTAGAACCTGCTCATTTCCAGTGATTTCTGCTTGTTTCCTTGTCTCTTTTGTTTTTGTTGATTACATATCAGTTTATAGAACACATTTCTACACTTTATTAGGCTAGAAAATGTTTCACTGAAAAGTTACCAATAAGGGTGGCGTCGCTAATAGGGCTTAGTGTGCAGTCTCACATATTAAGTTACAAATGACTTGAGGTTATGTATGCATTCCTTGTAGTCAACGCAATCAAAACCTGTCAATCAATCAATCCCAAGCTGGTTTGCAAAACATGTTACGCATCAAAACCCCAATAACTTTATACATATGACTTCCTATAGCTTCTTTTAGAGCAGGGCTAAGCAGATAAGAAAAGTAGATTTGAAATCAGCTCATCAAGATGCATCTGATGATATCCACATCATCTCGGTTCGAAACTGCGACTCGGTATCTTTCCTCTGTCAGAAGACTTCAGGAGTTGTGCTCTCAGTGTTCTCACGAATGCTTATATTGTTACACAACTTTTGCGAGGTTTTATCTTGAAATTGCGTATCAACAGGAACGAAAAGTGGATGTTATATTATCGATGTTTTCATGCGAGCTTCCATGTACGGAGTCAGCGACGCTGATTACCTCAATGCGAAAATATTAAAATTGTTTGGTTTCTTTTTGAAGTTACATGTGAACCCTCTTCAAATCTCCTAGGTAATCCCACAGTGATGAGGAATTAGTGAATCTCTTCACGCTTTCAATCTAGGTGAGCCAGCTCTACATAATGTTACGTAAAAGGTGGGAGGGAAAGGGGGGTGAAACGGTCTGGAGGTGCGATCGGCCCGGAATTTTCGCGAAGCAACGCCGCAACGCACTGCAAACAACACAACAGCGGCAATCCTGGCGCATTGTTATTACGACATCGTGTCATGTATCTGCCCTATCCTCACCCCCTGTTTTTGCCGCGGAAACTTCTAACAGCGGAGACTTTCGTGAGCACCAAAAACCGTTTCGAATTGAGCGCTTTCCTATTAAATTTTCGTGTTTGGATGCAAAAAATGGGGTGGGGGAACGAAAGCCGCCAGGTCCAGCCGCCTTTCGCGGCCAGCTGGTCCTTTCGCAGCGTTGTTGCATGTCGTTCCAGGACCAGCAGTCCGCGGAGGCGGGTGGACCTGGCGGCTTTCGTTCCCCCCCCCCCCCAAAAATGCAACTAACCTGTAATTCTGTCGTTTCCTCATCTGTACCACGAGAGTTGTCTCTTTCAAGTCCTGAAGAAAAGATCTGTCTTATTTTTATTGCTGCTAAACCTTCCTCAATAGTCTAAACGCATTATAAGCCCTCATTTCGAGCACGTGTTGTGTATAAGCGATAATAAGCCGGAATTATAGTTAGTTTACCGAAACGCTGGTACGGTATCGTCGATGCCGCCGTTAAAATCTGTGGGATAAACGCGATGTCGCGTCGGAAGCGCCCCTGTAGGCGTAACTCTTCTTAAAGTCAGAATCCCAGAAAGAAAAGCATGTATTCGGAAAGAGCTCATCAGATCTATCCAAAGTTCTTATCTTCTGCAAAACCCGTACCCCTTTCAAATAGGTGAGCCCAAATTTGAAATCAGTTATAGCTACCGCGTAATCAATTATGAACTGACTATCCGAAATCGTCGGCGCTAACTTTGACGTCAGCTAAAGTTGGAAGGACAAAAGGTTTTACAAAATATTTATGCATTTTTGGAGTAAAAAAAGCACTTCTAGAGTATATGCCTTTTTTTTCAATTCTGGCTTGTAGTGAACTACAATGAAGCGGCGCTTCTAACGCGATATCGCGGCTATTTTGCAGATTTCAAGGAGGCACCACTACTTACATGCACAAATGTATTCTTACTGAGCTGTAGCGCTTGCAAACCCACAATTTTGTATGTGTTTATCCTGGCTCTTGATGCGTAGCCGTATTCTGCAGAGCGCAAATTGAAAAGGTTGGCAGAAAATTTCAGTATTTTTCTGTTATCCAAACCCAGTCTCTCACAGAAGATATTGCTTCTTCGCTTGTTCCGGATCCAATCCCAATTCATGTCACTCACAGTTATACAGATTCCACAGAAGTTTGTGTCACCTACTTATCAACGTAAGTTCACTCTGATTTAGAACTAGTATTCACCACTATAGTAACCTTATATAATGTCAACTTGTTTTCAAACTAACTTTATGGATTTTCTAAAAATGAAGAGCGCTAAGTTGTCATCTGCGTTGCCAAACAACTCAACAATCACAGGCTCTCAGCCAGCGGCCACAAAGCCACCGCGAAAACCCACCAAAAGCGCGGTGGCCTCATCGCGGCCACTTTCGCTTCCCGCTGAAGCCCTCATAGCAGTCCGCCCGCTGCCAGCTTTAGCCTCCCGCTCATTGCCATATTTGTAGCCCGCTCGCTTCTACAGTTCTCAGCGGGAAGCGGCAGTGAGGCGATAAGGCCACGGCGCTTTTGGTGGGTTTTCGCGGTGGCTTTGTGGCTGCCGGCTGAAAATCTTGTCTGTGTAGCTTCTTGTTATGCTTGGACTACAACTTGTAACTTCAATTAATTCATTATCACGATGACAAGCAGGGTCAAGCAAGGGGTGTGGCACACGATCGCTGGTTACGACCCCTCCCCCTGATTGCTGTCTTAATAAGACCCCTCCCCTGGACTATACCCTTAAGATAGCATTACTTGGAGGCCCTGTCAAACATAATGGGCAACATATCCATAATGAGCATGTCAATTAACCCCTGTAGACAAAGTTTGAGCGAATTCTGAAGATTCAAGACACTAGGCTACCTGAGTGAAATGGTCAAATTTCAACATGGTTAACTTTGTTTCAAAGATGATAGCTATCCGTTTTCGCACTCAAGACAAAGCACTACTCCTTCTTTGTCCACCTCAGGAATCCCGCTTCAGAAGACCTCCAAACTGTGGAATTAGAAGCCAACCAAATCTCGTTTTTCCCATTTTTCGCTTTTGATCGCTGTGCTTTCACCAAATATTACTCAGAGCTAAGAAGACGAATCAGGCTCAAATCACTCCTGTGAAAACCAGGTGATCTAGGCTATCGATCCATATAAATACTGTCCGCTAAAAATGTTTTTTTGATATAGTTAATGGCCTGCGGCACCCCCCCCCCCCCCCTCGAAACCTGCGGCAGCCGCAGGTTTTGAGGGGGGGGGTGCCGCAGGCCATTAACTATATCAAAAAAACATTTTTAGCGGACAACATTTATATGAATCAATAGCCTAAACCTCGTAGATTCCATAGGGATGTTTTGAGCCTGATTCGTCTTCTTAGCTCTGAGTAATATTTGGTGAAAGCACAGCGATCAAAAGCGAAAAATGGGAGAAACGAGATTTTGGTTGGCTTCTAATTCCACAGTTTGAAGGTCTTCTGAAGCGGGATTCCTGAGGTGGACAAAGAAGGAGTAGTGCTTTGTATTGAGTGCAAGAAGAGGTAGCTTACTCACTCGTTAAGATGAAGTTAATCATGTTTTAAATTACTGCTTTATACAAGGTTGTTTACTGCTCGGAGACCTCAGAGTTCGCTGAAACTTGGCGCATAGGGGTTATTCGACACGCGGATTACGACAATTATGCTTGATTAGAGGCACGGTAGGTTACGGTAGGCATACGGTATTCTTTGTGTCGTTGAACTTGAATTTTGCAGGATTTCAACAGCGCTTTCATCAAGTCAATTTAGTCACACAGCTTGTACAAGTGCTTTTGACCCTGGGTCGATACGACCCCTCTTCTACCTACCCCTCCCCCCCTAACGACCCCTCCCCCCCTGCGGCGTGCCGCACCCCCGCTTTACCCTGATGACAAGTAACAATGAAGAACATAACCATCTGGAGATATGACCACATGGAGAAATAGATATGGCCCCAGATGGTTATGTTTTTCATTGTTACTTGCCATCGTTATAATGAATTAATTGAAGTTACAACGTTGTCCAAGCATAACAAGAAGCTACACAGACAAGATTTTCAGCCGGCAGGCACAAAGCCACCGCGAAAACCCACCAAAAGCTCCATGCCTTATCGCCTCACTGCCGCTTCCCGCTTTCCTAAAAGATAGGAAGTGTCCGTAGCCCAAAAGCTTAGAGGTTAGCTTAGATCGTATACTACGACTATGTACGGCCACGTTTGTAAACTCTGGATAAAGGTTATAACTAATGAAATGGCAAGTAACAGTTAAGTGGATGAGTACGCAAGTACGCAGTGATACACACGCATAGATTTACGTTCTTTAGAACAGAAAATATGCTGATAATAGGCCTCGAGGGTACAAACATTGATAAAACGAATCCATATGGGGAGCGGTAACAAAGCAATACACATTCCACCGCGATAAATATATTCACAAACATGAGTGAGGAACTGCCAGTGTTAGCGCGCAATGCAGGGGTTTCTCATGCGAATCAACAATCCATTCGCGCCTGAGTATCGTTCAGGCAACTGTCAGTTCTGATCCAAACCCATTTTCCTTATGTTGTGCAACACTTCCTCTAGAATTGTGTGCGTCTTCGTCGGTGACTGCAGCGTCTAAGAGAAGCTGTAATTGACTACGATTACAAACATCATGAAATGCCTGCAAAAGAGAGAGTAGTTGGAAATATATAGATATACATCAAAGACAGACATTAGACAGAGAGAAACGCAAGACAAATATGGTACAGCAATTAGTGAAAGTGTGAAAAGCCCTAATTTCATTTCTAGGAGGTAGGGAGACTTTATCAAGCCTTGACGATAAAAAGAAACAGAAACTAGTTCCACATCACAGCTGTAAATAACTATCGTCGATTCGTTGACTGCGCGGACTGGACATAATTGCGGAGCACGCGCCGCGAGGTAAAACGCTTGCTCCAATACAAGATCGCCATTGTTCGTGCTCTCGCAACATGTTAACCGCGCCGCATGTGGTCCGCAGCGCTTCAGCAGTCCATACGGAACGAATCGACGATAGCTGCGTTGACGAACGACTGCGTGCCAAACAATTTTCCATAAAACTGTAAACCTTTTATGTGCTCACTGTACAAGTACAGTCGATTCATTTCATATGATCATGTGTGCACCCGCACACACCGTCCATCTTTGACGTCCCCATCTCGGATTTGCGATCGCAAAAACGCGAGAGAGTGAGCAATTGCTATCGCTCACATCATTTAGAGATAAATAGTACCTAAAGAGAAAAGAAAACAGCGAGAAAACATCAGAATCGCTTAACGGAAGGGTTGCATCCTCCAAGAATCCAGGATGGGTACGCCAAAGATGGACGGTGTGTGCAATGGCACACATGATCATATGAAATGAACCGACGGTACATCATTGAAAAGGTGCGCACTGTGTTTTGATGAATGCACTTGGCTTCGAAATGAGAATTTTACTTTTCGAAAAGGCCGATCGGTAGAAACACGTGCGACGAAAACAACTTACGCTGTGTGTGGCACTCAGACTAAACCTCAAATCAATCCTTCCTCACTCAATGAACTTTGCGTACAACACGCTGGCGTGGAGTGAGCCTTGATGGTCGTTCGTTGCGTAAAAGGTCATGTTTTCGCGTGTAATCCGCTGAGGCTGAGAGTTTTTTCTCGAAAAAATTATAAACACAGGATTGAAGTAGCAAAGCATAGCGACGCCCTCTAATCAATAAGCATTTCGAAAATGGACGCATGCGAAACGCAATGATGCAGATCTTTGAGCGCAAAGAGAGCACGCTTGTAGTCGAATGATGTGACAGCGGCGAAAATGTTGAGAGAAAGGCACTTTTATGTTTACATTCGTAAAATGAGTGAATAGATGGTTTTTTACGGTTTTCGAGAGAGTTTGAAAAAGAGTTTTTATTACATTGTGCAGTGGATGTTTTGATTCAAAAACAAACGGGGCTTTCATTAAGCACTTATTCCGGTTGGATAGACAGTCAAACATAGAGAACAAAAGAAATCTGATATATAAAGAATCGTTAGCTCACTTCAAAAATCTTCAAATAGCGGGGAACCACGACGAGTCCCGAAGCAAACGCTCTTCCAAATAGCGCTTATAGCTACTGGTTCACTAGTACTTGAAATAAAGCACTGAATGATAACAAAAATGAAAACAAAGAAAAGCAAAGATGAAAACAAAGATTAGGCAACAAGAAATGAAAAAATGACGCGAGCCCACGCTGCCAATCTCGTTTGCCTGCACATCTAACTTTTCTGGTGCGATCAACAATGTCTCGAGCGGGCAACGATATGGCTTCCATTTGGCAGC